ATATGAAACACAATGGGTTCAATTGACAAATTGTTGGGAGTTTCCGGGGTTTTTTTTTCATTACATAAAGAATCAAAAATTTGGGTAGTTTATCATGATATAATAAAAAAAAAAAGATTTGCTTCCTATTAATTTCACCATAAAGTGGAGCAATTATTCCTTATTTGGAAAATAATTCTTGTTCTTTATTTCATACCAATGTACAAGAATGAAGTATCTTTATATCTACGGGAACATACGGAAGGTATGGGAAATCTGCATGGAAGTCAATTTATTGTACCACATACAAACACATTTATCTATGAGTAATCAAAAATTAATATAAACAGTTCCATATTTTACTTTGTTTCCCTTTTTTATTTCTGATGTAAGCGTTAAAGAGCTTTACTTTCTGAATGAAAGTTTTTTTTTTTTCAAAAAAAAAAAATGGTAATTGGACAATTGTTAACTTTTCTTTGTTATTCAGGTAAAGGTTGTTAAATTCAATATGAATCGTACGTATTATTTATGATAATTTGAACCGAATATTATGGTACCGAATTCCTTATGAAAATTGTAAGATAAATACAAAAACAATGGACGTGTTACTATTTATATTACATAAATCCGAAAATTAAGGACCGATTGTTTCCAATTTGGTTTCGTAAAACTCGGTTTATTCAAAATAGCATTTTTGCTTTCATCAAGTAAAGTAACAACATATTTTAAGTTTGTTATAAAAGAGATTTTATTAATAGATAATGTCGATCGTACCACTAAAATAATGCCCGGGAAACAATCCATTATTTAAATCCTATTGTTAAAAAATATCATTGTTAAAATCATTCGAATTAAAATTTTGTTGATCCGATTCTAGTCATTTAAACTGGGTAATAATAATTTTTGGATGAATTTCATGTATGAATTTTGAGTAATAGGATATTTCGCATTTTAAAATGTGTTGAATTTCCAATTTCATGTCTTCACGTGATAACGAAATATTAGAGTTTATTTGATTTCTTATCTTTATGCGTCAAAACACAAAGGTGTCGGTTTTTAGATTGCACTTTTTTTTAATTTAATTTATTTTTTTAAAATAAAAAAGAGCATGGATATAAAAAAAGACGCGAAACCATTTATTGGTTTCGGTCTCCCTTTATTGATTTCACAAAAAATTTTTTGTTTATGTTGCACAAACAGATCTGGTAAACTTCCGCTTTTAATTTTAATACGCCAATCAATAATAATGGTATGGCGTTATTGACTTTGCATCTGATTGTTCTACTTCTTTTCACACATTTTTTTTTTTCCGATAGAATAATTACTTGGTTTGTATATATTATTTATTTTATATTTTATAACAACTCATAAAAATATATATATATACATATAAATTATAAATGTTACTATCATCATCGATTCGACTAGAATATTGATACATGTTACTTATACCATATGTTGCCCCTAAAAATAACAATGAGCCGACTAACGATATCTTCTTGCATGAAACCGTTTGGCTCAAAATAAGATGACATTCTTTATAAGTAAGAAGTTTTTATTTCAGCATAAATAATTTTATCATGCTTGGCCTTTAAAGCTTTACATGTACGTTTTCTCCAATATACCGTCATCTGATCATAATTTCAGTCTCGTCACATAAACACAACAGTATATTTAAATCATTCACTATATAACAATAATTTTCAAAAATATAAATTTTGCATGGATCTTTTCCATTTAAACGCATAAAAGCATTAAAGCAATACATCAAATGTTGTTCCTTCATAACCATTGTGCTGGATTAACGTTCGATTAATTGACCAATCAATGATCTTGATTATACAGATTCGATACGAGAATAACGAACAATTCCTCAGGTTCACGACGCATTTCGGTCTTAAATATGATAGATGATCAAAACAAAAATAAACAGCCCAAGTGTGACCCTTAACAACTTTCTTAGTCAACACTCCAAAAGTTCTCCAAGTTAGAACTTTCTCTGTCAATCTTTAAGTTGATACTCAAAGTTTTGGTACCTTCTTAGACGTCTTCAGGATCAAACCTTCGTGAGGGTTCATTCTGATTTCTGGGAACTTTTTCTAAGGGTTATATTTTGTATCATCTTTTTTTCAAAGCGTCTTAGAATTAGAACCTGTTTAATTGTAGCATTTAATGGGAAAATGTGGTGATCTTATACCGAAATGAACGTGAATATATATATTTTTTATACAGTAGTTCAGTTTTTTTATTTACAATAAAGCGTTATATATTTTTGTCAATCATTTAATTGAAATTATTAACCAATCACAATGATTATAACTAAGCTTTGATGAATACGTAATGACGAACAGATCAATCAGAAATTAGAATCTCACCGATCCTGGGAAAATCGTTTGCGTCATAAGCAGCGTCTGACGCAAGGTATGACTATCTCTCGTTAAAAACTTGCTCGTCATATCTTTTTTCCTTTTTTAAGAAAAGTTGGGAAGGATCTGCTTCGTCTAGATTACTGGCTGATGTTCATTATTTTATCGAATGGGTGGACGTTAGTTTATCATGTTGTTATCTTTCTCCTATCTTTATCGTCGTCTTTTCTTTTTTCCTTTTTCATCTTTTTCATCTTAGTCTCAGTCTTCAACAGATTTTTATCAAAGTATTTTTCTCATTACAAGTCCTCAACGAACTTTTTATCAAAATTTTTTCCATTACAGGATTACTAATAGATTTTATCCCTTTTAAAAAACACTTGTAGAAACTGTGAAAAGGACGGCCATAGTGTTTATTCTTCGGAATATCTAACTTTTAGTGGAAAGAGCTTTGAAAAATGGCGAGATCCATACACTTACATCATCAGTTTGGGTAAAATATATCAATGAGTATAAACAATTTTATTTATTTATTTCTAATTCTAAATAAAAAGACGGTTATTCGTAATCAAAGGAGGTCTTCGTGCCCTTGGTATCACTCGTACTGTACCTGAAATTATCTATCTATTTTTTTAAAAAAATGTATAAATCATTGAATAAAACTAACTTTTTTTCGCGATAGTAAATGTGAATGGTGTTGGCGAGAAAATTTTTATGAAAAAATTAGCATAAATTGATATTCTACTGTGATTATAATGAAGATTATTAGTCGTTAAAAGTAAAAATTCTATTAAAATACAAGTACGTTATCAAATAGTATATTTATTTGGTAATAGTTGTATTGTGAAAATATTAAGACTTTATTAGGATACTTTTACAAAAATAACAAGATTCAGTTGACATAAAATAAATTTATCTGATGTTTATGATTCATTACCCCAAAATTTTCTAAACTAGTTATTTCTGGATCATTATCATTGTTAAAAGTTATGTTTTAGTTATTTTTGAGAGAATAGATATTAGAACTGGTTAAAAATTTCCTTTAATAGTTATATAGTTGATTTTAATAAAGAATTATTAAGTGAACTTGCATGTAATCCCTTCAAATTATATTATAAAAAAAAAATAATATAAGCATAAAGGAATATTTGACTTGATAGATTTCAATTTAAGATTATGTATTTATAAATAAGCTAAAAAATTTCAAATTAAGATGATATTGTATTATTAATCACATAATTATTATAAATGTACAAATTGATAGTAATCTAATAAAATAAGTTTAATTATTATTAAACTAAAAATGAATACTTAATTATTTGATATTTATTTTCATATGATTTTCTAAATTTCTTAAAAAAATAATTGCTGGATTTTATATGTTAATTTTTTGTTATAAATCTTTTTAGATAAAAAATAATAGATTTTATTTTATAATTACTTCTTTTTATTCTTATTTTATTATTTAATAGTTTATAATTTATTTATCACTTACAATACCTAGCATTATATTTATTTATAAGCTTAAAAATTTTATAAAAATTTAATTGACAGTATTTTGATAAGTTATTATAATAAAAAAGTTATTTTTAAATAAAATATGAAAAATTTATCTTAAAATAGAATTTAAAATTATGTTATTATGATAATTTTAATAATTTATCAATCATTTAACTTAAATAGTTATAAATTTAATTTATAATCAGTATTATATTTATATAAAGATATGAAAAAGATAATAGTAAATAAATTTATTAATTCTTTTATTAATTCTAAACTTTAAAGATAAATTTTACAATAAGTAGAGTTAGAATTTTCAGAATATGGATCGTTTCTAATAAATAAATTATATAATTCTTAAATAGGTATTATCTAATTAATATTTATTATATATAATTCAAGTAAAATTCAGATAAATTTGAATACAAAATTTTTTTTTAAAATTAAATACTTTTTATTTAAATAAACATAAAAAGCAAATACAAATTTAACAATTTTATTCTCAAATAAGACAATAAATTTAAAATAAGTCTTATAATAATAATTTATATGATAATTATTTTATTATGATTTACTTATATATTAAGTATTACAATTAAATCATTTAATAAAAATATGAAAGAAATTTGAAAGTATAAATAAAAATTTTATTATTGAATGTATTGATATTCAAGTTAAATTATAAAACTATTTATATAAAAATTCTAATTTAACTTTACTATATAGATAAGATAAGAATATAATAATTATAATAAATAAATAAAAAAAATATAATAAAAATAATAACTATATTATATAATAATAAATAAAAATGTTAAAATAAAAATCTTTAATAAATATAATATATTTAAAATATTCTTTTTTACAGTATAATAGTCACATAATACTAAATATTCTATTTACTTATTTATTATTTTTGATTTAAATATTTATAATTATTTAAGTATATTTATATTATATTTGAGTAAATAAATAATAAATTATAGTTAAAGTTGTTTACTTAAATTTAGTTTTGCTAATTTTTACTAAAGTTTATAATTTTACATATTTATAAGCTTTAATATAGTTTTATCTTTTCTCAGATTTTTTAATTAGATTTTTATTAAATTTTACCTTTTATTATTTAGATAACTTGAAAATCTCTAATTTTATTTAACAATTTTAGTTACAACTTTAATAATAAATTATTAAAAGAAATTTAAAATTTATATAATTTAATTTATTAAAAATATATAATAAAATAATAAATATATTCTATATACTAGTCAAAATCAAAAAAATCAGACATATAATAAATTAGTCTAAAATCAATATATTATTAAAAATCAGCTAAAATTTAATCAAACTAACCAATATATTAAAAATTAGTTAAAATTTAACTTATTTAAGTGCTTTGCAATAAAAAAGGAGAAAATTACTAAAAAAATTTTTATTTTATAAGTTAAATATTATTTTTAGTAAATAAATTTAAATATAATATTAGCTCAAAAAATGTTTTAGTAATTTTCTCATTTTTTATTATAAAGCGTCTATTTTATTTATAGCTAATTAGTATATCTAAAAATTAGTTAACATTTAACCTATTTATTTATAATTGATTGATATATATTAAAAATTAGTTAAAATATATTACAAATTTATCAAAATAAAATAAAATTTGAAAGAAAATATAAGGTAGTGATATTTATTACATAATATTTTAGAGGTAAAAGATAATTTAAAGATCTTAATATATACATAGTGTAATGTAAAATTACTATAAGATAAAGAGAAAGTATGAGATTATAGTAAATAGATATTACATAATAAATATTACTACCTTAACTGAATTTTATATTTTATGATTAAAAAATATTCAATTTATTTAATTGTATTTTATAAAAGATATTTCTATTAATTTAATTAACAGTTAGATATTTTTTGTATTTCATTAAACTATATTTAATAGTTTACTAATATAAATTATCTAGAATATGAAGAACTAGTAGTATATAATATTACTTTTCAGATAAAAATTAATATCTTATAATTCAACATTATATTTTTTTTTGCTAAAATAATATAGAATATTTGAAGAAATTATAGATTGATATTAGTGAATATATATTAGAAATTTTTAACTAGTTTAGATCATAAATTGTAAAGTAATATTAGACTTAACATGAATAATAATCAACAGTATTATTATTGTAATAAATTTTAAATAAATGTATAAACCTTTTATATATTATAAAGATATTGATAAACTAAATATTTCAAAACTAATTTGATATCTTTCAAATTGATTCATTTTAATCTAAATTATTATATCATCTTCTGAATTCTTAAGATAATAATATTTATTACATAATATCTATTTACTATAAGATTATACTCTTACCCTTGTCTTATATTGATTTTATATTATATAAATATTAAGACCTTTTAATTATCATTATCCTTATAATATTATATAATAAATATCATTACTCTTATTAAATATCTTTTAAATTTTAATAAACTATAAATCATCATGCATTATTTAACTATTAAATGAAGTATTTTATTTAATATTATATTATTAAATAATAGTTTAAGAAATTTACTAAAAATATTTATTAAATATTTTGTGATTTCATTTAAAATTAATGGATTTTATTAGAAGAAAGTTTATTGTAACTGAAAAAAATTAATTGAAGGCTGATTTATCTTAATACTTTTTGAATTTATAATACTTTTAATTTGAATATTAAAAATTTAACATATTAGATTAGATTTAATTTTCTATTATTATTTAATAAAAAACTTAAAATTAAAAATTAGTAAATTTATAAAAATTTAAATCAAAAAATTATTTAATATTCTATTTAAAAAACCAAAATATATATAATGAATCATAATCTATTGAGTAATTATAAAATGAAGAAAAAGATAAAGATTTATCATAATTTTTATTTTTGTGATTATTTTTAATTAACTTTACTATCTTAATTAATTTTTTTATAATAGATTTGATTTTTTAATTGGATTTACCAAAATTGTATAAATACTTATAAGATATGTAAAATCTTTCTATTTATAATTCAAAAATATTTTTAAAGTAAAATAGTAATATATATAATAAGAAATATTAGCTATAAAATTATAAATTCTTCTTTATAAATTTTACTAAGAATTCAACCTAAATCAGATAGAATTTAAATTTTATTCATTTTTTTTCTAAATATTATTTAAGGAATTTGATATTAAAATTCTCTTAATAATTCAGATTCATTTTATATTTATTATATAATATTTAAAAATAGGTAATATTTAGATTGATTGTAATAAATTTTATAGAATTAAAATATAGTATTGTTAACATACAATTCTGTTGAATTACAACTGTTAGATGGAATGTTTGAGTGATAATTTTTTTTAAGTTTACATAGTAATCTAATAGTTATTTCAGTAAGTTAATAATTCTTTTATATATTGTAAAGTATATTCACATTTTAATTAGTTAGGTTCTGTTATATATTGAAAAATATATTCAAACCTATAATAAATATATGATTTTTAATATATTCAATATATTATTGAGTATATTTTTTATGTGTTAAATTAAAAATAATAAATATGAATTACATTATAAATACAAAATATCACAAAATGTCTCAGATAAATCAAATAAAGTTTATTGGTAAATAAATAAACTAAAAGCTAAAAATACTAAAAATATACAAAAGAAGAATTAATTACAAGTAGAAAAGAGTAACCTTACACTATCTTTATAAAAGAAAATTACATATAGTCATCTCTGAACTAATCAGATTGCATTTAGTAATTGATAGTTATTTTCTTATTAAGAATTTAGTCTCCTTTATATACTTTTTTAATGTAAATCTAATATATCATATGTCTGATATATCAAATATATTAAATATGTTAAATAGGTTTAACATGTTTGATATTTTGATCTACACTTTCATAAATCAAATATATTTATTTAGTCGATTATATTAATTGTGTCACTTATATAACTATTTACAATATATTATGTAGATCAATTAAGTTATGATAGTCTTATTATAGTATAATAATTATGACTATCTTATATCATTTTACTTTTATATTATTTTTATGAATTATTGAATTGCAAAATCTCTATTCTAAAATATTTTGTTAATATTTAATTAAATTTTATAAAACTAATTATCAAAATTATTTATTTTTAGTAAACTTATTTTGACAATTTTTATAATTTACCTTTT